CCCAAAAAATTTTAAATTTTCCTAAAAAAATAGAAAAATTTCATTTTAATCTGATTTCATTTTAATCTGCCACAATTGTCACTATGCACACTGTAATTTTTGTATAAATAATTACAAGTTAAATTTAGATCAAAAAATGCACATAAATGTGCATTAGCTTTTTTATGTTGATATTTGAATTTTGCACGAATATCGCACTAGTTACATCAAGAAAGATAATTTTTTTACGCATTTTATGCGTTTAAAATGCAATTGCATGAGTCTGGAGTAGGGTTGGATCGGTCCTGAGAAGACCGGTCTTTTAAACCTGTTATATGGTCCTCGGTTTCCGGTCTTTTAACCAGTTTAGACTGGTTAAAGAATAAACTATTAAAATAAGCTTTTAAATAGCTAAAAAAAGCTATAAATAAACTTTTAAATAGTTAAAAAAAGCTATTGCATTTCGATGATAGCTAAACATCTAAAAATTGATAATCACTCACATGAAAATAGCTTATTTTGAGACCGAGGACCGGACCGAACTTAACCGTAGATATTATTGGGACCGGTCTTATTAGGACCGAGACGGACAGGACCGGACCGATCCAACTCTAGTCTGGAGTCTCTATTTGCACACGAAATTAAAAAGGAAAAAAATTATATTTGGCTGATTGAAGAATAACTTAGGCGATTTTTAGTATAATTATTAAACTTATTGTCGTTATAAGAAACAAAAATAAGTTTACTACAACTTTAATATCATTATATTATCCGCTAAAAGCTCTTTATTATTTTTCATATGGCAAAATTTTCTTAGTTCTTTATATAATTTTTATTATCAAAAAAATTACTATCAACCTTTTTCTGTTCATTAAAGCCCATAGCGTTTTTATAATGAGCTATTTATTATATAATTTGGAAATTTTGTTATTTATATTCAGAGTTCATTATAGAGAGGTTCGTTGTATAGGATCAAATAAAATATATAAACCAATGTTCATTTTTTTTTTAATTTTGAATTCCGGAGTAGTTATCCGACACATCCGGTGTTCATCCGGAGCGCAACCTTGTATGGGGAAGATTGGTTAGTCGATTAGGTCACGTTATGACATTGTATCACTTACAGAAATAAGTGTACGCCGTTAAATCCGCCATACGCTTTCGTTCTGAAATTCTATCGATACTGTACTGTCGAGAATTTTTACACGATGGTTGGTTTATGTCTCTGAGTTATGTTATTATCAAAATTTACTTGATCAAACTTGCCCTGATTTATTCTTTATTGCTAGGGAAACGAACAGGCAAAAGAGGCTGTTCAAAACACCAAACTAAAGCCTATGCGAGAAATTTTTAGAAAGGGAGCTAAATATAATAGTACGTTGTAAATAATATATCGGATGATTTTGGTAAATTAATTAATGTTCTTTCCTATAAATAATTCGTTCAAAAGAATTTACGTTAATATCTGTTTTTCAGTGAAAATTATAATTCGTGGTGATATTCGGACAGGAAAAACTACCTTATGTAAGCTATTATCGTAAGAATTTCATCATTTCGCATAAGTATTGATTTTCTTTTTTCTTTTAATTGGTATAATTCGCTTTTATTACCAAAGTTAATCGATTACAGGGTGAATCTTTTCGTGAAGAATATATTACTACACCTCAAATTCAGGTTGCAAATATACAATGGAATTATAATCAAACAGAGGATGTTATTAAAGTGGAAATTTGGGATGTGGTTGACAGGGGTATCAATCCGACAAATATTAATATGAGGCCTACGACATCAAATGCTGCATTGAAAATTGAAAATTCACAAAGTAGAAGAAGCTTTTCTATATTTGATCAAGAAAAAATTTTTTATCGTATTTTAACAGTTTGATTTCCTTGGTAGTACCGACGAAACCACAACTATCCAGTTCTCCGCTTCAGTCACCGGATCAACTTTCACTCGATGCTGCAACTATAGATGTATATCGCAATACACATGGTGTGATATTGTTGTTTGATATTACCAAAAATTGGACATTCGATTACGCTATTAAAGAATTAAGGGCTATTCCTAAAAATATGGCTGTATTGTTGCTGGTGAATATATATCATCACTTATCTTTTGGCTCTCCATAATCTGATGAAACGTTCTTCTTGTCTAATAGGGTAATTTTAGCGATCTCAGGTAATTATGTACGATTACTGGTTTCACATGCGTGTTTGTGGTGCTTCAAGAAGGATAATAAGTCTTGTATGATTTACACGAAAAGCTCGCGACGTGTAATTTTTCAATCACAAATCTATCAGGCGGTATCGGACATCAATCGTGAACGAATATCAGAATATCCTTCGGCTAATATGGTTCGGTATGTGGAAACTAGCATGTTAAATGGGCTTGGTCTAGAGTATATATACAAGTATTTTGGGGTTCCTTTCTTACAATTACAGGTAACTTTTATGATTGTTAAAATATAAAAATGATATATTTCATTAATAATTATCTGTCTGATTAAATAATGTTGAAAATAATACTTTGTTAAATTCAAAGAGAGACATTCTTCGCCAGCAATTGGCTTCAAAGACAAAAGAATTGGCAAAACTTCTTGATACACTGGACCTCGATGACAATGTTTCTAATCCAGTCAAAAAGCGACACAGTACTACACCAGACGTTACCGGAGTAAAAGGTAATTATTTAAATTTTTTTTTTTTTTCCTTTGTATTTGATTCTTTAATCTATACACGTATACATACATATTAGATGTAGAACCAGAATTAAGAAATGATCATTTAGAAGAAGAAAAAATACAGTTAAAAAAATTATGGAATAAAGAATTTGAAGAATTATCTCAGCAAAAAGAATCAGGTAAATAATTTGAACATTTCGTATGTACACTTTTAAGTGTAAATTAATTATTCCTCATCCAAACAGCTGAATCATTAAGTTCAACGCTACCGAAATTACAAGTGGAGCAACCTTTATCAGATACTCTTTTATATAAACGTCCAAAAGCAACCACTCCTGATATAACAATAATTGATGAATTCAACGCTGGAGATTTAGAAGATGATTTTTTTGATGATACTCCTGATCCGGTTGTTGTATTGCCCCCGGTCATCCAATCTAAAAACGATGAAGTAGAAGATATAGATTCGAAAAATCCAATGGTTGCAGCTGATGAGGACCTTGTTGGAGTTGAAGGTTATGATGATGTAGAGGAGGATAAACCAAATGTCCGCCAGAGTTTCAATAGCGGTCTTAATGTTGTTTGGAAAAATCGCTACAATAATGTAACTTTAGCAAGTCGAATAAGCGATAGTAGTGATGACGATTTAACACAAACGATATCTGAACAAAGAGATTTAGATCATACTTTTGAAGAATCGTCTTTTGATACTGGAGGAACGCCAAGTGGCTACGAAGAGATTGGTGAAGGACAAGATAATCCATGGTTATAGTGCTTGGATAGTTCATTGTTAGGCATTTCCGGCAGAATATACAGTATCTTTGGCTTAATAACTAATCGAAGTGGTAATATAATCATTTTATCAATTTACCTAACTTTCCCACCAATTAAATATGGTATACAGTTTAGGCATATAAATTTAATACAGAGACCTCCTTAAATGCACCCCTCGGGACCATAGTAAAAAATTTCAAAAGTGTGCATTTATAGAGAGCAAAATGGATAAGCTGGGACATGGCTATACCGTGTATTTAGAAATTTTTACATAGGGAGTGCATTTATAGAGAATTCATTTAGAGAGGTCTCTCTGTATATTGTTTTTCATGGGTCAAATTTTGTTAATTTTAATTTTTTTTTCTAAAAAGCTAAAAAAAAAAAAATTTATATACAAATAAATCTTTGAAAATGAATTAAAAATTTGAGTTTTTTTTTTTACCATAGGAAACCCAATTTATAAATTATTTAAAATTACAAATATCTTTTAAATTGCAAATGCCTTTTATTGTTATAAACTGTGAAAAAGGCAAATCTATCATAAAAGGGGTTGTCTAGAGCGGATCTTCTCCTGTATCGTCACCAAAATTTCACCTACAAAGTTTGTTAATGATAGGTTAGAGTTAGGGTAAGTGTTTTATGTTAGGATTTGAATAGTTATATAATAAAATTATTCAAAGAAAACATTTTGTTAAGCCACAATCTTTTTAATTAGGTTCTATTATATATTTTTGCCTTTATAAAGCTCACAACAACCCTAGTACCTATATTTAGACTTTTTTTTTTTTGGATTCTTTTACTAGTTCCTTTTTTACTTCTAGCTAGTAGCCCAGAAGGATTAATTTTGGCTTAGCTTTAGATATCTTTAGCCCATCTTTTTTTGGTATATACTTCTAGAGCATATGTTCTTTTTTTTCAGTATGATAGATCTGGTAGCTAGGCTGATATATTTTTTATTTAAAAATCTGATTATTTAGTTTTCCAATCTTAGTTTCTGGTTTTAAATTTAGTTTTCTTATAATATTGTTAAAGATTACTACTACCTTCTTACTTGGAACTTCCCAGACAGATTTTAATTATTTTGGTTTTTTGGTTTTATCTTTGTATCAAAGCTTTTATTCTAAATAGTGTTATTAAGGTTACAAATTTTAAATCCAACTACTAGTTTTTTTATATTAAATTTTTTTTTTTTTTTTTTAAAGCTTTGATAGTTTTGCTAATACTCAAATAACAAAAACTTTATTTAATTAGTAATAGTAAACCATCTCGAATATAAACTAATATTCATTCCTAAACTAAACAAGTTATTTTTCAATTGCAAGTTTAATATCATTTGGCTGTGATAAACATGCTTAGCTGTAACTTGTCACACCAATCTGTATACAAGTTAGATAAACTTATTAGCTCATCAAAGCTAATTTTTTCATATTTTCATTCTTTACTAAGAGCAAAAGAAAGTGATAATTTTATATTTACAATACAAAATGACCTATAATAAAAATAAAATGAAAAACTAACTAAAATAAAAATAAATAAGAAGGAATTTTTTTTTTAAAAAAAGGTAGAACAATAACAATGTAAAAAATAAAAAATAAAAAAAAAAAGCCTAAGAGCTAACAAAAAAAGTAACTATCTCTATCAAAAAATAGTACAATTGAAATGAAGAAAAAAAAAACAAAAAAAAATATATAATAATATAACCTGTACCAGGTTTAAGAAAAAATTATATAACAATTACAACAATTGTATATCTTATCTATAAAACAATGTCTTAACCAAATATCTTCCAACTATTAACCAACTTCAGATACTTCTTTACTCAAAAATGCAATCTTAATTATGTAAAAAGCACTATATTTGCAGATAAATAAGATATATAGTTGTGTTTTACTAGGTTTATTCAATTTGGTAAGTAAATAATACCAATCTTTTAAAAGAAGTAAGCCAAATTCTTTACTTTTTACAAAAATTTTGGAAGACTAGTAGGAAAGTGGTAAAATCAAACAAAAACTTAATTTTTGAGTTTTTAAAAAAAGTTAAGCATCTATTAGTTACACAAATTAGATTTTAAATTATCTATAACTATATACTAAAAAAATTTGTATATAATGATAACATTTAGATTACTATATAAATTATATAGTTAAATTGTGTACCGTATAACTATTTTTAGCATATTATTATTTGACGCGTAATTTCTATTTAATTTATTCATGTTCATAACAATCTGTAAAAATCTATGTTATTTTATTCGCATTACTTTTTATTTAACTTTTTTAAACTAAGCTGTAAATATTGTACTGTATGTGTTAATTTTGATAAAACTTTTATTCTAATTAATTAAATAATTATAAATTTTTACTATTTTTATCGCTTTAATTTAGTGCATCACTATATTATTATGTGTTTAAGATAAGTTTTTCAAATTCGATAATATTTATTATTCAATTTCATTGTATACACTATTCAGGTTTATATCTATTTGTATTTTATTACATTGTTTCAGGTAAGCAAGTAACATATTTTGAAATCAGAGTTAGAAAAGTCTGAAGTATTTGAAGATTCTCATTTCATAGAATTGGAAAATTTTAAAACTTTCGTCAAATTGCTAGATCATATTTCAAAATAAATACTTCATCAAATTTAATTAAAATTAAGAAACCTTCTATTTAAAATAAGCTCCTTATATTTATAAATATTTACTACTTTATTTCATTTTTTACATCTTACTTTTAGATATTATATTAGATAAGTATAATTAAATTTTTAATTGAATAAGTCACTTATTTTTATGAATATTTACTATTTAATTTTAATTAATCGATTTAATATAGTGCATTATTATAAAGAAAATTTATCATTTTATGCAATTAGAATATACTAATATATTCAAGTTCGATAATATTTAATTTTATTTTATTAACTAATTAAATTTACTATTTAATTTATTTTGATCATTTTAATTTAGAGGAATATGATGAAAATTTTAATCTAAGTATTTGGAATGTCTATGAATATTTACTGCTTAATTTTATTTTTTTCAATTTAATTTAGTATATTGCTATGGCGAAAATTTATCAATCTATGTGTTTAAAATAAACTATTTAAGTTATTATATAAGTTTAACTTATCATGTTAATTTATGTGAATTTTTTCAGAATATTAACAATTTATTTCTTTTTTTAATTGAATATATTGATATTAAGAAAAGTTATCAATCTATATGTTTCGATATTCAGGTTCATAACTATTTATTATATAATTTTATTTTATTTATACTAATTCAGGTAATATTATAAAAACTTTACTAATTGTTTACAATAGACTACTCGAATTTATGAGTATTATTTGCATTAATTCAGATAAGTATAATATTATTGATCTAAATGTTTAGAATAAAATTTATGTATATTAACTATTTAATTTTACTTTTTTTTATAATTTTTTACATCTCTATAAAGAAAATTTATCAATTTGTATTTTAAGATAAGCTATTCTGGTACATGACTACCTACTATTTAATTTATTTTTGTTTGCCTGAATTCATATAAGTATGATAGAATTTTTTTAATTTGAGTGCTAAAATAAACTGCTTAACTTTATAACTATTTATCCTCTAGTTTATTGTTATATTTTTAATTAAATACATATCTAAAAGATATTCAAGTTTGTAACTATTTACTTTGTTAACTTGGAGTCTACATATCAAAAAGATGCTAAGCATGTTAATTTGTCTGTCGACTAGAAGAAGTTCAATTCTGTATAAATAAAGGAGGTGAGTATAATTTGAATAACTTTCTACAAGCAGTAACACTAACTCAACAAGAGATGACAGTGAAAAGGAAGATAACCATATAAGAAACACAATTGTGATCTATATAAACAATTGCTTACTCGCTGCGATGACAGTGAAAAGAAAGATAAACCTATCCCTTAAATTGTAACACAGGCAAATTTGCCTGCGAAGATTTTTACTAATTTTTTTAATATTTAAATTTT